GCCGTCCCATTGCCCAGAAAGGATGCTGACCAACGCACTATATGTTGCGGTACGCCAAGCCGTCGCATTTCGAGTATGATTTTATCATTGTCTACTGTGTTGAATACTTTGGCGTAATACAGAAACACTGCGGCCGTTCTATCCCCAGGAGTCGGCCGGTGCATTGTCGCTCAAAGGTGAAATAGTTGGTCCACTGTGGAGCGGGATGGTCGGAACCCGGATTGCTGTAGCGGTGTGAGCTTTGGCTCTATAACATCACGAATACGTGCTGCCATACTACGTTTCATGAGCTTACTAAGGAAAGTTGTGAGCGTTACTGGCCGGTAGGACTCTAGGTCAGTCGAGTTTCTTCGCAGTTTAGGAGCAGGATTATGAGTCCGTGCTTGCAGCTTTGTGAAACAATGCCAGTGCATAAGGTCGTGTTGAAGAGCATTAGGACAGAGTGTTTCGCAGATTTTCCAAGGTGCCGCAGTGTCTCCCCATGGATCATGTCGGGTCCCGGTGCGGATCCCAGCGGAAGAAGAGGCAGTGAACGATCGAGTTCAGCCATTGTTATTGGCTGAAAGTTCCCATCCCTTTTTTTGATTGGGAGTGTGGAGTAAGATCGCGGGTGTCTCCGCGCTATTGCAGCATACGTGTGGGCCAGGTGGTTTGGCCTTTTGGTGTTGTGAAAGCACAACCCCATCTGCCTTGACGGCTGGCGTGCTGAGGGGGCGAGGGGGCGTATACACGCTTTATGATCTGCCAGCTGTTGCCGTTGGAGACCTCAAGGTTTGAGCATGGAGTATGCCACCGGCTAGTGGCAGCTGCACGAAGAAGTTCCCTGCGTCGGATCTTGAGCCGCTGACTGGATTAAGCGCTTGGCCTCCTGGCAATTGTCTTAACTAAGCCTGCCCGCTCAGGGGTCCAGAACGGGGACTGGCGTCGATTGCCCTCCGGCACTGCGGCCTTTGTGGCAAGCCGTATACCAGATGTGATGTGCTTCTCTATGGTGTCTATGCGATTCATGCCTCGTTTGAACCTGCAGTGTGAGTTGGTCAGCGCGCGGAACTTCGACCAGTTTGCCTTCTTCCATGTAAGCAAGGTCTTGTAGATCCGCGGGACTTCTAGCGGAGTGTCATCCTCACCCACCTGAACAGTATAAGTGATGATGTAGTGGTCGCTGTCGGGGGTGGG